TGCTTCAGTTTGCTTTGTTTCTCCTGTTATGAAATATGAGATGTGATTTTCACGAATATATTTTTTTGGGGGAAATTTGGTATCATGTTAGTCCTGTTTAATTCCCATTGCCCCATTTTATCCAGCATATGAATTGTCCAAAGTATGTAAGTTGTCCCAACTGTTTTTTCAGATTTTCAAGGTCTGTTTCTAACCTATCAGAAACCAACTGAATGAATAAAGAAGCTGAAGCTTTGCCTTTTCCTTTGTGATGAATACCATTTGCTTTTTTTCCACCTGTTGATCTCTTGCATTGAATAATCTTTCTGATTTGTCTAGGTTTGAGTAAGACAAAAAAAAAAATGATATACTATATTTTAAAAACCCTATCGGTTTTGCCCCCCCCCCCCCTTTTCCCCCTGATCACCTGAGCATGCTGCGTGTTAACTGTGTGCTCCTCTGTGATTTGTAGGCACGTATCATGGCTACCCGCCTCGTAGCAACTACAGGCCTGAAGGATACCAGGGAGTGAATGGTGGGTTGGACACTTATAACAAGCAAGGCGCTGGTGCACACAGGGGTGGAGGTGCGTGGGAGCACTTGGGCTATATGGAGTTTCCATTAAAAAAAAAATGTTGAAAGAGGAAGCTCTTGGTGTTAGGGATGGAATTCTGTTCTTTTTTTTTAGTGGGATACAAATATTGTTTGATTATCAAAATATCTCCCGCGAGAACAGTTGATAAAGGAAGCTTTTGATTTTTCCTTTTTGCATGTTGGATTTTATTGAATTTGTTTTGAAAAATTTAATAAGGAAAAAACCTCCAAGTTATTATATAGATATCCATTTTGTTGGCACATCCTGTCTATGTTAGCTTAGATTTGCAGGCAGATATGGTAGATACTTCAGATTGGAGAGGCTTAAGTTGGTGGGCTGAGATGTTCCCAGTTTTTATTTGCTTAATGTTTAAGTATTTTATATGTTTGTCTTGTTTGCAAAAAAGATGCATTGATTTTTAAAAAATGTTTTTATATGAATAGCATGGATGCTATGATATGTTCACAGAGATCTTATTTTCAACAGGCAGTATTATTATATATTATAGTGCTAATGAATAACACTTGAGACCGAAATGTCACAGAACTTAGTCCCAAGTCAATTTAAGATTAATCTTGTATGGAGTGTGGTGTAAAGGTGGGAGTTGTAGCAATAAATGCTACAGCTGATAATTGAGACGTCATAACTAAATTGTTATTGGGGAAGGGATAATGGTGGTGAAAATTGCAATAATGATAATTCTTAGTAGATGAACTAGATCGGTCAACACAGTCTGCCCTTTTTGTTAACCAGTCCTTCCTGTAAATGTAGAACATTAACATAAGTTTGCTTTTTTTTCCCTTCCTGTTTACATTTTCTCTTGTATTTCAGGATACAGAGGTGGACCCCGTGGTGGTAGTGCAGGAAGAGGGGGAAGGGGAAATTATGGCGGAAAATCCAACAGCTATGGTGGGTCAACACCTCCACAAGTGGCAGCATAACAAGAAGCAACAGCAACAAATATTAAGTCTCGAATTTGAAAGTCCAGTAAAAAGGAAAACAACAACAGCAGGAGAATAGTGTGGTGTTAGAGAAAGCTTTCTCCTTTTAGAGCTTGGATGTTTGGAGTATGAAGGAACATCTACTCCTCCAACTTTTCAGTTTGAGGCTAAAGATCAGCGAAGTTAGAAGGCAAATTTCAAGAGCAACAACAAAGTTGGAAGAAAAAAATATTTAAAAAAAAAACAAAAAAAAAGTATTTGTCATGACCAATAGGGAAAGTAAAAACAAGACTATCAGACCCAAGTGGACTGCTTGATCTAGAGTCATCTCAGCAACAGTGTTTTGGTTCTATAAGTATAACTAACAACTTAACTGTGTTGTTCGTAAGTATATATATAAGAAAGCATGAAATCCCAAACTGGGAATTTTCAGTTAAGAGAAAAAAAAAGTAAAAAGCAGAAAAAAAGAGAAAAACCCACTGATGTGACAGAGCACTTTGTAATTTAGCTATGTTTCCTCAGGATAACAATCTGTTGCAGCGGTTCTTTTACTACATCCACTCCATAGATGCTTGAAAGCTATGTTGATAATTTGCTTAGGGGATTGGGGAAGGGGGTGGGACCTGTACAGAGTTGGACTGTGGCAGAGCATCTTTTGTAAACTAATTTTTAGGGTTCCTTGTCAAAGGCAGTATGTTAGGTATCATATATCAGATGTATTGCGGATGTAAATTTAAAGTGATGGTCCTGTCTTTATTTGCTCCCATCTCTGCTTTTGTATGTGCATACTCAGATGTTTATAGAAGCCAAATAAATTCTCTCAGTAAAATGTGTGGCTTTTCTCCGTAACAATCTGTGAAATGATTTTAAAAAAACTAACTTTGAATGTTGGAATGGATTAATTTAACATTGGTAAATGTGAGAAAATCGTCATTAACTTCACCAAAATGAGAAGTTTTTATCCCTTTTATCAAAACTTGACCACAAATGTTGCAGTATGTCATGTCGATTTAAATTGGATATATAAAAATCTATTCGGTGAGATGGGGATGTTTGAATAGACAACTTTTTAGAAGCCTTTATCTTTGATTCGCCTCTTACCTTGCCTCGGTGAACGTATTTGTTTTCATCTGTGGATTATTTGAAACTCGTAGGTACATCACTTAAAGTCGGCTGGTCCAACGAAATGGAATATGCTACCAAATGAAATCCGCTCAATTGAATCGACTGATAATTTTAAAGGAGTTGAGAACAGCTTTTAGGAAATTTTATTATTGATTACATTGATTGCAATTGTTTTTATGTGAGAATTGCGGTGTATTTTTCTAGAATCTTAAGTTGAAACGCCCGTAAAGTGGGCACGTGATCAGATTTTATTTGGCGGTCAGTTTGTGTGTCTTGACTTTTTTCGATCTGCGTAGACTGCGTGCCCAATTCCTTATGATAACAGCACTCATTCACAATACGTACAATGTAGGTCCATTTGAAGAAAAGTGAAAAATGAAGTTAAATATAAATTCCACACTTCTTTTTCTAAACCTCTGGGTAATGATAAATGATAAATCGAGCTTTTTGTATAAATCGTGGAAAATTTTTAATTCATGCCTTGCCATTATGGGAAATTTTCACATACAGTAACGAAGGTTTTAGTAACGAAAGTGTTAAAAAGAACCCTATCACTGTATGGTTTAATATTTACACGTTATGAATACTAACAATATAGTTTGCAAATTACTCTATGAGACAGCAGTTTTCGTGCCCTGTCACCTTATCGTCTACCTAACCATGGATGTAACCGAATGGAAGATTTTATTAATGACTCAAATATTGCAAAAACATCAAGCAACTTAAAATAATGACCTGCAGCAAAAGACGTTATGAAGGTTTTTTCAAAATTTTAAGAACTGGGCGACACCGCGAAAGTAGCCGCAAGCTTTTTGTCGAGTTATTTAAAATAAACATTCCAGTCATTTTCTGAGACGTTAGATATCATACTCGCTTCTTGAAAAATTTCAGATTTTTTACTGTAGTAAAAATGCACTAGATCAATTGGAGAATGTGAGATGGTGCTGCAAGCGACAGTAACGAAGGCTTAAAATTTAGACTGTTTATTTTTTTTTTTGTGTGTATGTGAGAACAAATAGATATAGTAATACTTCTTTACTTTTAAGTTGTAAGTCTGATATAAGTTAAGATCCAATTGGGCAAACAATTCTTTCGCTTGCTTAATTTGTAAATAATAAAACAAATTTTGAATGACCCTATATGGAGAATGAGTGACAGTGTACCTTTAACTGTCGCTTTGGATCTTCTACTGTGTTGACATGGAAACAGGGCTACACTATACCAGATCTCTCAAAGGCCATTCAGAACAAGCTTATCCGCGGACTAACAAATCTGCGGACTTCATATGACCGACTCATTTGAAAGTAGCGCCGACTAATTCCGTGATGGCTTCCCCGCCTCCACACGCGCCGTCGCTGCAGGGGCCTTGCAATAAAACCTCAGATATGAGATTTAACCCGTTAAATAGCGCGGGGGGAGGGGGGGGGCAGTAGGGGCTCTGTCCACCGTTTATGTCACTTACATATTGCGTTGGGGCTCGACTCAAGACAACATATTTCCAACTTCATGTTGGCCCTACATAATATCCTTTGATACTCTCTCGCTTTTTCTTTTTATGATGCTAAGCCCTCCACAGAAATTTGCTTTCTTCGCGTCTGCTATCGCGTTCCCCGTTTCTCCCTTTTTGGATTCTGTTAATAATGTATCTGAGGTTTGTTTTAGGGTCTGTTCCCACAACTTTAGATCGATCTATCACCGCGGGGAGTCTCACTAGATTACTGTCAGATAATCCCCCTTAAGTGTCCGTCCCCGCCTACTACAAGCTGTAAGGGGTAATTAACTTTCGTATCCGCCCGGCTGACAGCTATTTAGCGCGAACCCCGGGGAGTTAGGTCGATCTAAAGTAGGTCGATCTAATCTATGGAAATGGGGTGTTAGATTTAGACATGTTTAGTTCTATTTGTTGAGTGCAACAAAGCACTAGCTGGTCCAAAGAATATTCGAGAAAGCTACAGAAATTTGAATACTTTTTTTACGTATTTGGAATGCGGAAGTTTGTATTAGCTACAGGTTAGTCAGTCGATGTTGAAAAAACTTTTCTTTGTATCAAGTCTTCGTAGCCAATAAAATTTCGCCCTTGGAAGACAGATTTGAAAGGTGACAGGTAAAAGGAAACCCCTTTCCATTATTTCATTGAAATTCGATGACTTTCTGAATAGAACTAGGGGCTTGCATGAAACGTCCTTTATACTCCTGTATGGGGTATGTGCAGTTGTGTATGCATCCGTGTTGGTCTTTTGAATATATGAAAAGAGTACCTTTGACAGTAAAACACGACCTTCGCAAAGTTTCATTAGAATAATAATAATAATAATAATAATAATAATAATAATAATAATAGGAGCAAATCTGCACCAAGTTAAAAAAACATCAACAGAGCTTGTCAATCAGACACGTAAATGTTGGAACTTCCCGAAAAGATTAGTGATTATTTGGCACCCTTGGTCAGACATGGAAGGCGGTCTTGGCAGCCAAAGATATGGAAAGATTATTTTCCTAGTCCTCACAGTTTTTAGTGTTTGGTCAGCAGGTGGGTCTCTCTCTCTCTCTCTCTCTCTCTCTCTCTCTCTCTCTCTCTCTCTCTCTCTCTCTCTCTCTCATTAGACTCCAGTTTGAAGAACAATCGAATCGATAGGTAAGAATTCTAAATAACATCTCATATATTTAAGGGTCCAAATATTGACTTTTCCGAAGTCTGAAGGACTGATCTGTAACATGAACAAGAATATATGAAATAATTGTTAAACAATTAGGATAAACTTGAGACATAGTCCCTCATGGTAATTTCAAAATCTATAGTTAACCACTTTGAATTCAACAGAGAATTAAGTGGTTGGTTTTGAAACTATCGTATAATATTTTAACAGAAACATACAATTATTGATTATGGATGTCTATAAGATGTCTCTCGATACTGTTTCAAAAAAAAAAAAAAAAAAAAAAAAAAAAA